TCACTATATTCGGTCTCCCCGGACCCTGCATTCACTATATCCGCTCTCCCTGGACCCTGCATTCACTATATCCACTCTCCCAGGACCTTGCATTCACTATATCCGCTCTCCCCGGACCCCGCATTCACTATATCTGCTCTTCCCGGACCCTGCATTCATTATATCTGCTCTCCCCGGCCCCCGCATTCACTATATCCGTACTCCCTGGACCCTGCATTCACTCTATCTGGTCTCCCCAGACCCTGCATTCACTATATCTGCTCTCCCTGAACCCTGCATTCACTATACATCCGGTCTCCCTGGACCCTGCATTCACTTTATCTGCTCTCCCCAAACCCTGCATTCACTATATCCGGTCTCCCTGGACCCTGCATTCACTATTTCTGCTCTCCACGGACCCTGCATTCACTATTTAATGATTCCTGTGTCCTCCCCCAGGAGAGATGCCGATGAAGATGAAAATGAAGAAAATGGAGGGGAAGCTAAAATGGAAGATGTAAAAAGAGCGGGACAGATGAGAATGGTCAGAGTCCCACCTGGGTTCACCCCATTTCGTGTTGCACCAGAAATCGTTTAATCGCGATGTGGAAGTCGTCTGATGTGGAAAATCATTTAGCTAAATGCTCAATGTCTGATAAAAAATAAACATGTCGCATCTATAATTCCTCTCCGTGATTATTTAAGAAACATGTGAGCCATAATGGTCACCCTGTATGAAAGAGAAAAATATATTTGAAATATATTTTAATAATATTCTTCCCAAATATATTGACATATATTTGAAATGCTACAATGTTGGCCGTATTCAATATATTTCAAAATATATTTCAATAAATATATATATACTGCATGTTGAAATGCATTTTTATTACAAAATATATGAAAAAATATATTTAAAAATTCATTTAATATATTGTATGTCTTTAAAAATACAAATGTACATTTTTGGAATGCCTTTACAAATACTCTATATGTAAAAATATATGTTAAAATGACTGTTTTATATGTTTAAAAAAATTTGAAGAATATATTTTTCAAAAATAGATTTTTAAAAATATTTTTCATATTTTTTTGTAATATATAAAAAATGCATTTCAACATATTGGCCATATTCAATATTTATTCAATAAAATAAATATATATATATATATATATATATATATATATATAATATTTATTGAATATATTTTGAAATATATTGATTATGGCCAACATTTAAATATATTAAAATATATTTTGAAATTTATTGAATAGTGCCAAAATTGTAGAATTTCAAATATATGTCAATATATTTGGGAAGAATATTTTTAAAATATATTTCAAATATATTTTTCTTCCATGTGGGACCTGCTGTATTAAACAAACATTAGATATAAAAGAATTAAAGCAAATTTAATCCATAATACAGCTTTAATACCAATCCCATCAGCATGTGCAGTGCAAGAGTTAAAATCAACACATTCTTATAAAGCAAATAATAGTGCACAAAAATACAGTGTAAGAATGTAAAAATGTAAAGAGGTATTAAACCCAAAACTAAAAATGTAACATATTGCAGCTTACCAATCATGAGATGGGATGGCTGCATCTGTTTTCTTTGTCTTTTTCCCCTCTCTGTTTTCGCCTGGTGATCCAGTGGGACACCATTCTGGATGAGGGAGCACAAGAGGCACAGCATAACGCAACATTGTCAGTCTAGGGGGGGGGAGCGTAATGTTGAATGTATTAAAAGGTTTAAATACACTAACACATTGAATCCGAACTCCAGCTCACACTTTTTTTAAGCAGCTACAGCAATTTTTTTGTTTTACCTTTTGGGATAAAGGTTCATGACCTGGCCGTTTTTTTTTTTTTTTTTTTGCGATACGGCGCTGCGTTACTGTAACTGACAATTGCGCGGTCATCCAACGTCACACCCAAATTAAATTTGCATCCTTTTTTTCTCCCACAAATAGAGCTTTCTTTCGGCGGATTGCCTGTGCTTTTTTTATTCTTTGCGCTATATATAAATAATAAAAAAAAACTATTCTGAAAAAAAAATATATATATATATTTTTGACCTTTTGCTATTAGTCCAAAATGTATTTTGCTCCGTGTCCTTGCTGAAAAAAAAATCCCAATATGTTTAAATTAATTAGTTTACGTGAAAGTTATAGTGTCTACAAATGGCTATATTGATATATGCTGGAATTTTTTTTTTTTACTAGCAATGGTAGTGATCAGTGACTTATAGCGGGACTGCGGTAGGCATTCTGACACTGGGGGGAACTGACTTGGTGTCACTGACATCCCCAGTGACACCAATACAGTGATCAGTGCTAATAAAAAGAGCCACACTGCCCAATGCGTTTCATCAATGGATAGTCCAGCAGTGTATGGCCCTGACCTTTCATAGTCTCAATCCTATACATCCCAAATACTAATAAAACAATTCACTAACATCATGAAATCAATGCATAGCACAGGTATATAAACTGTAGAGAATGCACAAAACAGTGCCAATAAGTCATACTGCCCCTGCCTTGTCCCGCCCTGTTTATACAGTATATAATATATTAGTGCTGTCTTATTTTGCATGCAATTCAATACAGAAATACTGAAGCAAAAATATGTAGAAAATGGATCTCCTATTGAAAAAATTATAGTTACCAAGGAATTATTCATTTAAGGGTTCAAGTAGTAGGGATTGCAAAAATGGAGTTTTAATATAGGTTTCTATATGCAATATAAAGAGATATAAAACAATTGGGAGGCTGAGTTGAGGGGTTCTAGGATTCCTGATTTTTTTTTGTATTATTTAACATTTTTTTGAGTGTTTATTTTATTTGCGCTGTTTTGATTTTTTTGTTAGAAAAAAATATACAGAAAATATTGTCCCCACCCTTAAAATGGAATCATGTGTGTGGAACGCATCTCCCAGAAATTTCTATGTGTATTTAGGGGGAACTGATTTTGGATTACTGTCCAAAATCCTGGTATCCTGTATAAATTCAGTTTTCAGGCCATTAAGATGTAAATATTTAAAAATATTTTTTCTTTCATGTGGGTATGATATTAAAGCCCACTGCAGTGCTGTCACATAATGCATACAGCTGGTATAAAACAGTAATAAAAGTTTAAACTTCAGAAAGCTGGGCAAACTATAAATTAACATGGAAAGGCAAATAGTTTCCTAAAAGCTGCCAGCAAAATGAAAAAAAAAAAACTTTAGCAGAATCCCAGGATCCTTTCCTACTGTGCCACAGAGTTTTCTTCCTCTCTGGAAACTGTGGAAAGTCTGGTCACTTTGTTTTGAGTGAAATGGGAGTAAATAACGGCCCAAAATGACTCTATGTTGTGTAAACCAGAAACAATATAATTGGGCTGGAATTCCACTTACATTGATTTTTAGAATAAAACTATATAGAAGATCAGGAGGATAGTTGGAATGCTTCTTGGGTGCTGATATTGTCCCACCTGGAGGCTAGGAGGTAAAATATTTTTAAAAACTTCATGTGATATCAGTTATGTGTTCTTGTGAATAGATGTGTGGACTATTATTACCTCAAACTTTAATTAAAACCTTCTTGTGTACTCAACTTTTCTTCATCTTCCTATTATATAAGCGGCCGACCCGTTCTTCGTAGATTAGACCTCCACTGAAGTCTTCCAGCTTGTCTACATTCTCAGCACAAACTGACCTCCTGGTAGGTATACGCTGGAATATCTTTATTAGATATTTATTTCATCCTATTTATAATTATTTATAAGAAAGAATCCTCGGTATTCAGCTTTCAGGTAAAGTATAAATGACTCCTCTTTTTATTTTAATTTTAAAAGCTGCCAAGGTTTCCTGCTATTATTTTTCCCATAATGATTTATTTCGCACAATGAATGTGAAAAATTCACAAAAATTGATTCACCAAAAATTCAAAATCCGCAAAGATAATATTAAGAGTGGCCAAAACCTAGACTCAAACCGGCTATTGTGACGGCATTTCCCAATCATTATTGTATGATTATTAAAAACATAATGAAGCAAGTCCAGAGAAATGTTATCGTTGTGCCCAGAAATAAATTCTTTACAATTTGATAAACCTTTTTTTAACTCTAAATTCTAAATAATTCTTTCCCTTATTAGGAAATATTATTGATATGCTAATATACAGTATTTATACTTAAAATATTGTAAACAATACAAAAGTTACAACATTATACATAATCTGACGGATCACTTTAAATACCATAAAGTCCAAGATTCCCAAAATGAATGAAGCATGTGCATTAAGGAAAAGTTCAATCCAAAAAGCCTGTCACAATAATTACACCCAAAACAATTGGCTACTTACCAGGACAATTTGACCGCTCAAATCGGTCAAGCAAGCGCCGGGGGATATGACATCAGAACAGCAATCGAGCCTCAGTAGAGATCCCCTCCAGAATAGTAAAGTAACCTTCTTCACCTTCAATAAACCTCCAAATGGTTAGAAAACTCTGTTCATGATGGTCAGGGTAGAAAAAAGAGGAAAGGAAACTCGTAGTGTACGTATTTCGAATTCAATACATTTATTTTGGTTTCCACGTACATCAGTGAATAAGACAAATCCAGCATGGTGTAAAAAACAGGATTGTTAATCTATAAACACTGGACAAGATGGCCACCGTCACTCCAGAGCGCAACGACGTCACATGGCGAGGCTCCACCCTCATACTTAAACATTTGCCTACAGGGCATACCCCCCTTCCTGCCCAAAGCCAATTTTCAGCTTTCAGCGCTGTCGGCATTTTGACAGACAATTACCCGGTCATGCAACACTTGTACCCATATGGAAATTTTTAGCATTTTTTTTTAAAACAGATAAAAAAATGTATATTTGGTGTTATTTATTCACCACCGGGATTTTTATTTTTTTAAAATAAACCAAAAACAACTGAAAATGTTGAAAAACAATTTTTTTTTTTTCTTAGTTTTTGTCATAAAATTTTGTAAATAAGTGATTTTTCTCCTTCACTGATGTGCTCTAATGAGGCTGCACTGATAGGCTGCACTGATGGACACTTGATAGGTGGCACTGATGGGCACTGATGGAGGAGGCACTGGTAGGTGGCACTGATGGGCATTGACAGGCATCACTGATGGGCAACGAAAGGCAGGCACTCATATATGGCACTGATAGGCTGCACTGAGATGGTCACTGATAGGGTGCCACTGATGGGCACTGAAGAGGAGGCATTGGTAGGTGGCACTGATGGGCATTGACAGGCATCACTGATTGGCACTGAAAGGCAGCACTCATATATTGCACTGATAGGCGGCACTGACTGCCACTGATAGGTGGCACTGGACTGGCACTGCTAGGTGGCACTGATGAGGGCACTGATAGGCGGCACTGATATGCGGCATTGATGTGCACTGGTAGGCAATGATATGTGGCATGATGTGCACTGATGGGACACCGACAGGTGACATTGATGGGCACTGACAAGTGGCACTGCTGGGGGGCTACACTGATCATCAGGGCACACTGATCATCAGTGTCCTGATCATGCTTCAGTGTACATGTTCCCACCTTCTGAAGGAATGCTGAGATTACCGGGCTTCTCCTCACGAGCTGGTCAAGCGGGAGGTGGAGAGGGAATGCCGGATAACCGGACAATTTCTTATTACATGAGATCTTGCCCGTGGTGAATTGATTGGACCACTGCTGTGATTCACCAATGACAGAGCTTGACGTCATCAGCTCTATTGCTATTGATTGTGATTTGCTGAGTCCCCAGGGACATACTAGCGCACCACCAGATCACCGCGCTGCCCATGCCCCCGTTGGTGGATGGACGTCATGATGGATCATCCTTTCCTAGAACCGGGAGAAGGAGAGAGAAACCGCCCTTGTGCACCGTCCAGTTCCCTTTAAAATATGGACAGGTGGGAGGTTGTTAACAATATTGTTCTCTTTATGCCCTTTATTAGGAGATAGTTACAGTAGAAAGCGCTTAGCATTCAATTGAATTTATATTTTCCTATAATTGATCAAATGTGATTTTCACATAATTGTCAACATGGTCTTACTGCAACTTCTCCAAACCCTTGGAACTAGAAATTCTAATCACAGAAAGAAAACCATTTATCTGGGGTCCTATCACCTCATTTATTACAAGGGAAAAACCCTCTAGGGAATACCGATTCGTCTCAGATTTTGTAAGAAGGATGATAACTATAAACTGATGTTCAATTCTAATATCCTTTAGGTTAATGGGGGTTGAGTGGAGGCAGTAGTGTGGAAAAGGGAGCCTGGTGAGGCAAGGAGGCAATCAAACTGTTTAATAGATTTAGAGGGTCCTGGAAACCATAGGACAATGCGATATTGGGCCTTCGGTTTCGTGTGATTACACCAACTCACATTGGACGTCTAAGATCCTCCTTTTATCTGATTAAGGAAAAAAAGGGATAGATGAAGACCCCTTAATCATTTTTTTTAATCCCCTGAGGAACCAGATCCCAAGTAAGGTCTAAAAGGCTATTCAAGCAAAACTACCATGTCATTTTTAAAAACACTTCTACCTGCCCCTTTAAATGGGGCTCCAGTGTAGAGTGGGAAGCCTGGGAGAGGCAAAGAGGTATACTCTATTTAGGATAGAAAGTTCCTTGGAGGCCAATAGACAATGGAGCTGTTGCTCCAGCTTACTTTACAGCTGAGATATTCAGCAGGTTCCTCTGTTTGATGTTCTGGCCGATTGGCGCGGGTTCAGCAAATGCCCACATCGCCAATCTAGCAGTAAACCTGGTCCAAGATGTACATGGTTGCTGGAGAACCACCCCTCTATAGAACAAATTGGAGATTGGGAACTTCTGTTCTTGTGAACCTAGCTGCTAATGGCAATCTAAGTTACCTGCTGTGCTCGTTCATTTTGTGGGATAATGATGGAACAAGATAGCAATGACAAGGTCCCCCTTAGTCATTGTGTCTATCCAGGGTCTGGGAAGGCCATTCAAAGCAAACTCCATGTCATTAAAAAAATCTCTAACAAACACTTCTACCTGCCCATAATGGGATCCAGGTACTTCGTGAACCTTTTTTTCTGAAACCCATTAGTTCTCGTTTGGTAAGAATGATAACTATTAAAAATGATTTTCAGTCTAACTATCCTTTAGTTAAGCTTGGAAGTGAGGAGTAGGAGGTGGGAAGCCCGGGCGGAGGCATAGAAGGCATTTCATTTTAGGATCAGAAAGTCCTGGATGACCATAGTATCAATGGATTTCTGCATTGCACTTAGTCATTGTGTTATCTATGGGGGAACCAGGTCCAATCAAGGTCTGGAAATCATCAAGCAAATCCATGTTAATAAAAAAAACCTCAACCTTCCCCCAGTAATTGGGACTCCGAGGTGTACGGGATCTTTTCTGATGATTTAGACCCCACACAGGTGTCCAAACACAAGGCCCATTGGGCGGCTGAATCTGGCCCTCCGGGCCTATTTTAATGTGATGCCCTTGCACCTCTCCTGCAGCAATACCCTCTTGTCTCAGGCCCCCCACCTTGTCCTCTCAGCAGTCAGCAGCAGAGAGGATAAAATAGATAACTCCTCTGCCAAATCCTGCACCTCATCTAGTTTGGCCAGCCTGCAAGGCACCCCTCTCATCTCTGGCCTCCCCTGGTTCTCTCAGCTCAGCTCATGGGCAGGACTCTGGTAACTGGACTCCCAACTCCTCCTCTGGTTCCTCCGCCAGGGAGAACCCTGACAAATTTCTGCTTTTCCAAGCTCTGCCCCGAATGGGGGGTGCCACACATGATGTTAGGGAGTAGTGTGGGTATTCTTGGACATCTGGATGTAATGGGGGTTGGGGTTGTCTCTGGATACAATCTAGTCTTCCAGGATTACTAACCGGGCCCTTTGGAGGGCAACCACACATGCTGTTTTACAGCCTGCGATGGATAGGGGAGTTTGGGACACTCCCTGATTTAGGGACTATTGTACTGGCAAACTCAACTCCATTTTATGTGTGGGATAACATTAGGGAGGGCCCCTTTTGTTCTTATGCTGTTTTACACTAGTTAATATCTTATGTTTAATTGTACATGAGAATTCATATAGTTTATTTTTTGTAACCATTTTCCACTATTGGACACTTTTCAATAGTTAGTTATGCTGCCAATACGGGTGGACCTCTTATTTGGTAATGCATTTGTTTTATTATACCTACCTGAGCATCTATGAAACTCAATTCCTTTTGTATATGAAGCTCCTCCCTTCTTCTTGAGTACATCAACTTCCTGATGTCATGGATGCAGCTAACAGAGGACCACAATGTCAACAGGGACACACTTGTATGCCTGCATAGTTTACGCTACCAGAATAAGTTATCATCCTTTTGACCGCATAATACTGGAAACCATTCCATGTCTGCTGTATCCTGTTTTCAACATGTACAGAATTTAAAGCCAACTTCTGGCTTGAATGAACACAGTATTGGATGAGTGTGTCGTTCAAAGGCTATATACGATAAGGATTTGCCCACACGTGATTATATCTGCTTAATTACAGGTCTAGGCAGAGAGGTCTCTCACTTCGGGATATATCGCTATCACAAACAATCTGAGTCAGAATAGTCACAAAAGATTGCATAGGAATCCCTACAGCCTGCTGTTGTATATGTGTGTGGCCTAAACTTCTGCCAATCAAGCTCTAAGTGCCATCCGCCATACTTGCATAAGCCACATGGTCGCCACCAGCTTATCTGCACTTCATTGTGAATATTGATAACTGTTTCTCTTGCACTTGAACTGTGTGACCCCCATCCCTGTCTAAAGCTGCTATTCGTCTTCTTAAAGATGAGACAGTACCAATTTTTTGAGCAGAACAGAACAGTAAAAATAATGTCTCAGACATGGCTCCTGAAACCACTCCTGTACTGGCTCGGAACCAATGGTCACGATACATCATTCCTCTGATCCAGGCAGACAGTTACTAACAGGGAGCAGATTCTGCATGACATTTACCAAAAAATCAGAGAGTGTAGTAAAAAAACCCAAACGGTACAATAAAAATCCGACACAAAAAACTCAGGGAAAACACTCTTATATGAAGGCCACTAGAGATGAGTTTCTACCAGTTACTCTTTCAGACCTCTGGGGGAACTGATCTTCACATTGCATGTTACAGCGTTTTGTCACCACTGTAAATGATCACAAAACGTTCTGCTGAATTATAGAGGAACTTCTAATAAATCGCCTATCTGCTACGTGAATGAACGCTACCAGCGGGCTGTTCTGTAAATTATACTCAGCTTTCTTGCAGGGGACTATAATATAGAGGGATTCTTCAGCAGAACTGACCAAGGACTGATGCACTTAAACCAGAACAAAGGGATCTTGCAGTGCAAAAATGCTAAGTTTAAAAGCAGAACTCCGCATTACTCAACTGCAGGCAGGACCAGAATCCTCACAGATTCCCACCTCCTCTAAACCAAGCGCACTGCACTTTCCTTCTCGATTCCTCTCGCTCCCAGAAGTTCCAACGTTAACAAGCCAGATAAGCTAATTTAGAGGGCCCGCGCTGATGCTTGAATCGAAAAAATGGCGCAAAAGCTTATTTTTACCAGAAAGGAACAAGGATAGCCTCAACAAGCAGAGATGATAGGCTCAGCATGCGCAGAGATGGAAGCTCTAAAAAGCAAATGACTCAACAAGCAGAGATGATAGGTCTCAGCTTTGGCATGAGATGGAAAGCTAAATAGCATAAAGCTCAGCAAAGAGCAGAGATGGAAGCTATAAAAAGCAAAAAGCTCTACCAGCACACAATGGCTTTCTCAACAAGCAGAGGCAGGATTCCCAAATAAAGATTTCTGCAGGATGGAAGGGAGAGGGAAGCAGCTTCCCTAGCAAGGCTGAATAAGTCCTTGAAAAAACAAGCGAATGGGAAAACAAAGTTACTCTAATTCAGACTTGCCTTATCCCGCAGAACTGGCAAGATCCAGTTTGAAGAAGCACCAAGTGAATTACGTATTATATAAGCATTGTCATTTGCGAAGAAGTTACAGAGTCATCTCTCTGTTACCTCCTTACTAAACAAATCAACTGTTCATGGTCTCTTCCATATCACAGAGTACCTGCTCCAGCTCCATATGCCTAAGCCTCTTCAAATCTACAACACACATGTACATCCTATGCAGCAAAAACTCACAATCTAACTCTTTGCCGAACACACCTAAGGTGACTTCCAGTGGGACACAAGGTCAGCAAGGCCTCCAAGCCACGCAGGCCCAAGCACTAAGCCTTAGAGGACTACAACCACAGTTAAACGCGTCATGCAACATTCATTTTTACCCTGGTTAAATACTCACCCTACAGCCACACAGGAGAACTTTTCACCAACACCAAAGGGGTTTCACAAAGTTACTTTTTG